AGGAGGTGGAGGTTGTGGTGAGCCGAGATCGCGCCATTGCACTCCAGCCTGGGTAACAAGAGTGAAATTTCGTCTCAAAAAAAAAAAGACATATAAACGAAAGGCAGTGTGTGGAACTCTGGGATCCAATTACTAAATGACATTTATGAGACAATCAAGTAGATGTGAATACTAACTAAATACTTATGAAATTTAAGAAATTTTTATTTATGCATGATAATAGTACGTGGTTTAGAGGCAAGACTCCCACTACTTTAGAGATACATAGTGAGTTATTTAAAAGATGAAATGAATGCTTGTTTTGGCAGCACATATACTACACATTGGAATGATACAAAGAAGATGAGCATGGCCCCTGAAAAAGGATGACATGCAAATTTATGAAGTGTTCCATGTTTTTTGTAGAAATAAGTTCAAGAAATCTACTGTACAACATGGTTTTCATTTTGTTTTGAGATGGTCTCGCTCTGTCACTCAGGCCGGAGTGCAGGGGGCGATCTTGACTCACTGCAACCTCTGCCTCCCAGGTTCAAGCGATTCTCCTGCCTCAGCCTCCTGAGTAGCTGGGATTACCGGTGCAAGCCACCATGCCCGGGTAATTTTTGTATTTTTTAGTAGAGATGGGGTTTCACCATGTTGACTAGGCTGGTCCCAAACTCCTGACCTCAGGTGATCCACCCACCTCGGTCTCCCAGAGTGCTGGGATTATAGGATTGAGCCACCACATCCAGTCCAACATGGTCACTATAGTTCATAACAATGTGTTATATACTTGAAAATCACTAAAGAGAATACACTTTAAAGTGTTCTCACCATAAAAAATAAGCATGTGGTAATGCATATATTAGCTTGATTCAGCCATCACACAATGTGCAGTACACATATTTCAAAACACCACAAATACACAATTTTTATTTTAGTAAAAAAGCCATGTCCTTAAAAAAAATAAAGATAAAATGGTATAGCTTGCATTTCCTTCTTGTTTTTTTTTTCAGATGGAATTTCACTCTTGTCACCCACGCTAGAGTGCAGTGGCACTATCTCGGCTCACTGTAACCTCTGCCTCCTGGGTTCAATCAATTCTTCTGCCTCAGCTTCCTGACTAGCTGGGATTACAGGCACCCACCACCATGCCCGGCGAATTTTTGGTATTTTTAGTAGAGACGGGGTTTCACTATATTGGCCAGGCTGGTCTAGAACTCCTGACCTCAGGTGATCCACCCGCCTCAGTCTCCCAAAATGCAGGGATTACAGATGTGAACCACCATGCCTGGTCTGAATTTGCTTTAAAATTATAAAAGGCCAAGTGCAGTGGCTCATGCCTGTAATCCCAGCACTCTGGGAGGTCAAGGTGGGAGGATCTGTTGAGGCTAGGCGTTCAAGAACAGCCTGGGTAACACAGCAAGATCCCATCTCTAAAAAAAAAAAATTTTTTTTTAATTAGCCAGGCATGGTGGTGATGCCTGTAGCTGCAGCTGCTTGAAAGGCTGAGGTGGGAGCATCACCTGAGCCCAAGGAGCTGAGACCGCAGTGAGCTAATCACACCACTGTACTCCAGCCTGGACAATGGGGTGAGACTGGCTCACAAATAATAAAAATCAATTGAAACATTTATGAGGTGCTTTATAGATAAAACGAAGTTGGGCACATGGTAAAGTCGGGGCTGAGTTATGGGAAGAAAGGGTTCATGATATTATTCTACTTATAGGTATGTTTGAAAATTTCCAGAGTAAATAAAAAGTTTTAGAAATGGGATTATCCGCCTGAAAATATATATTTTTATTTCTCTTCACACATAAGTTTATCAGCTCTTTGATATGTGGTTGCTTTAAGCAAAGATTTACAGATTATGGCTGCCCTAGAAAACCACTCTTATTTGCCCACAATCATCACGCATCTAGACTAGATGAGAAGAAGCGCTTGGAGTCAGGTGAAAATGTGTCTCACCATCATTTGCTTCAAGAATGCTGGAACTGAGAGCAACTATGGGGTTTTCCAACTGTGTTTTAAAGAGTCTCAGCCTGTTTCTAAAAGAGCAACTCCTATCTGCTCTTTAAACTAGAGCAGGACGAGGAGAATGTTCTGAGGAGAGATGTCTCAGTTTTCCCACAGACATTCCTGGCAATAAGCCGGGCAACTCAGCTTGGGTTTGTCAACGTAATTCTCATGAATCTAGACTCACTCTGCCTCTTTTCTTCTTAACACACTCGAAGTGACTCCATGGCCTAGCAGCTTGTTAGTCCTGGATGAGGTTTTAAAATTGGAGCCCTATTCGCTGGATGACCAGTCTAGTCTCCTGCCAAGCTGGCACTCTCTCTTATTTGTTACATCTCCAAATGCACTTTTGTGGGAGAGATGGATGTCACATGTAATGAGTGGCCTGCTGGTTTTTAGTCCTCTGCTTCAGCTGCTGCCATTCAACCTGACAATCTGCTCCAGGTGTCCAATCTCCACTGGCCTCTGATAACAGACAGCTGCCATGGCAGTACTGCCAACAGTCAGCCTACACCATAGCACAGTGGTGCCCTCATCTGACCTCCATGCCTTTTTAGGATACCAAGCATCTTCCTTTACGATTCCTCTGAAAGCTTCTCATTGCCTGCTCCTTGGTCCCTAGTTCCCTTTCTCTCTGGGGAGAGTTGAGATAGGCTTGTTTCCAGCTTGTGAAAGAGGTGGGCTCTACAGCAGGCCTGCTTGTGTTTCTAGTGATGCTACTCATTCTTTTTATTGCAACCCTCTGCTTTCCCGGACAAGTATTCTAGGAAGGGAGTGGGGAGGTAAAAGGAGAGCACAGACTCCCATTGTCTTGGGAACCACCGTCTCCTCCAGCCCCCACCCATCACCACAAATCTGGCTCATTCTGAGCAGGGCTCTTGCTCTTTCCCTTACTGCTCCTGGGTTCTCTGAAAATCAGAGGTGTAGCTTGTGCTCCTGGTCACTACATGATGAGGAGTTACTCCAAATACTTCCTGATAGACACAGGTGTTCTCTTTTTTTTTTTTCACTTTTGCTGCCCAAGCTGCAGTGTAACAGCGTGATCTTGGCTCACTGCAACTTCCGCCTCCCAGGTTCAATTGATTCTCCTGCCTCAGCCTCCTGAGTAGCTAGGATTAGAGGTGTGTGCCACCACGCCCAGCTAAGTTTTTTGTACTTTTAGTACAAACGGGGTTTCACCATGCTAACCAGGTCTGGTCTCAAACTCCTGACTTCAGGTGACCCACTCGCTTCAGCCTCCCAAAGTGCTGGGATTACAGGAGTGAGCCACCGCACCCAGCCATGGGTTTTTTTCTACCCATGGCACCAGGTCTCTGGGTGGGGTGACTTGTTGCTAACTCTATTCCCTGACCTAATGAAGTCTAAGCCCAGACCATCTATCCCATATCTTTAGGGAGTGAGATTTTATTTTATAAGTTTTTTTGAGACAGAGTCTTACTTTGTCACCAAGGCTGAAGTACAATGACATGATCTTAGCTCACTGCAACCTCAGCCTCCTGAGTAGCTGGGACTACAGGTGCTCACTACCACACCTGGCAAGGTAGTGTATTTTTAGTAGAGAAGGGGTTTCGTCATGTTGGCCAGGCTGGTCTCGAACTCCTGGCTTCAAGTGATCTGCCTGTCTCAGCCTCCCAAAGTACTGGGATTACAGGCATGAGCCACCGTGCCTGGTCTAGGGAGTGAGGTTTTAAAACCAAGGTGGTTTTATTCTAGTGATTAAATGTATTCATGTTAAATAATTTTTATTTACCATTAACAACATTTTTTCATTGTAATCTTACTTCCAGGAAGGTATTTTCTTAGCTTACATTTTCAGCCCAAACAGGTAAATTCAGTGCATTCCTTGTGTAAATGCTCTGTGTGCAGTGACAACTGATATACTCCTCTTTCTGTGGCTACCTAAAAACTAGAATCTAAAGCAGTCAGAAGGGTGAACAAACTAAGCAAACGTCTGGAGTCCTGATCTACCATTTCAGCAAAGTAAACCCGAGATTCTCAGCCACATTTACTACAGAACTCTTTTTTTTTTTTTTTTTCAGGGGAAAGCGTGAACACAGTCCCCCACTACCACAAATTATGCAGTCGAGTTTCCCACATTTGGGGAAATCGCAGGGGCCAGCACATCCGGAGTGCAATGGATAAGCCTCGCCCTGGGAAAACCACCTTCGTGATCATGGTATCTCCCCTGCCAGGTAAGTAGTGAATAGATCAAGTACAAGTAATTAGAATCAGATGAAAAAAAGTCCCTAAAAAATCCTTCCCTATCTCAAAATTGTAAAGATATTTTACATTTTCTTCCAAAGTATTTAAGTTTTGAACTTCCACATTTAAGTGTAAGATTCATCTAGAATTTGTATATGAAATAAAGATCCATTTTCTTTTTTCTTCCTTCCATATTAAATGACTATCCAAGCATCATTTACCAAACGATCTAGTCTTTCCCTCACTGATCTGCTATGCGAGCTCTATTACATATACCAGGACGATAAGTTTTCCTTTTCAGTAAGTTTTATCTCTTTCAGAAAGTCTTATTATTACACTCTTTTTTTCCCCAAGACTTATTCCTAAGTATGTGACTTTTTAAAAGTGACTATAAAGATCTTCCCTCTCAGTTTTAATTGCAGTTTCTGTCTGTTGATGATACACAGAAATGTAATGGGCCGATTTTGTATACAGCAGCCTGGCCAAACTTTCTTACTCTAATAACTTCTACGGGTTTTCTACAGAAACAATCTGCAGCTGGCTGAGAAGCTGGGCAGTCTGGTGGAGAACAATGAGCGGGTGTTTGACCACAAGCAGGGCACCTACCGTGGCTACTTCCGAGAGCAGAAGGACGGCTACCGCAAAAACGAGGTCCACATGCGCCGCCGTGGCTACCGCCAGCTGCAGTCTCAGACGGCCTGAGCTCTCCACTGTCTCCGTGCCTAGACCATCCAACCTTGAAGTCCTAAACCACACCCCAGTTATTAAAGGTCTATTTAAAGTTGTAAAAAAAGAAAAAAAAGCTCGGCATCTGGGGACGCTCTCTGCTGTCGGCGCCCGGCCCAGCTTCCTTCAAAATGTCTACTGTTCAGGAAATCCTGTGCAAGCTCAGCTTGGAGGGTGATCACTCTACACCCGCAAGTGCAGATGGGTCAGTCAAAGCCTACACCAACTTTGATGCTGAACGGGATGCTTTGAACATTGAAACGGCCATCAAGACCAAAGGTGTGGATGAGGTCACCATTGTCAACATTTTGACCAACCGCAGCAATGCACAGAGACAGGATATTGCCTTCTCCTACCAGAGAAGGCACTTGCATCGGCACTGAAGTCAGCCTTATCTGGCCACCTGGAGACGGTGATTTTAGGCCTATTGAAGACACCTGCTCAGTATGATGCTTCTGAGCTAAAAGCTTCCATGAAGGGGCTGGGAACCGATGAGGACTCCCTCATTGAAATCATCTGCTCAAGAACCAACCAGGAGCTGCAGGAAATTAACAGAGTCTATAAGGAAATGTACAAGACTGATCTGGAGAAGGACATTATTTCGGATACATCTGGTGACTTCCGCAAGCTGATGGTTGCCCTAGCAAAGGGCAGAAGAGCAGAGGATGGCTCTGTCATTGATTATGAACTGATTGACCAAGATGCCCGGGATCTCTATGACACTGGAGTGAAGAGGAAAGGAACTGATGTTCCCAAGTGGATCAGCATCATGACCGAGTGAAGCATGTGCCACCTCCAGAAAGTATTTGATAGGTACAAGAGCTACAGCCCTTATGACATGTTGCTAATGCATTTATTGATTATTCTGAATAACCGTTTAGTTTTTTTGAAATGTTTAAAATCTATTAGGTCGACCATATGGTTTACTCCTTTAATCTATTCATGTTAATATAGTGAATAACGTTTACAGAATCATAACATGGATCCAACATTTGCAGATGCTGACTAATTTGCTTTCTGTTAGCATCATTTACACTGTATCTGGAGACACGGTTGAAGTAAATATCAGTATCTTTACCAAATATAACAAGTTGGGTAAAACTGCTAACAAGTTAGAAGATTAGAGCTCAAAATAAACATAATAGATTAGGTCCAAGCATAGAGAATTGCTTCTATGGAACGTGGCCAAGATGGCAATAAGCTCTGTAAATATAAACCTGACTACAGTATAGTGTCAGCTAATTTTCCACAAAGCAACTTGATATTTTCTGGGAAAAAAGTACCACAGAAATGAAGGTGGTGCGATTTTAACAGCTTCTACATTAAACTTCTGTGGCATGGCTAAAAAAGAAAATAATGGTTGAAAAAGCTTGTTCTACTTTACAAGAAAAAGTTAAGCTGGGATTTAATACTTGCTATGGGAACAATTTGTAATATTCTCTTTCCCAATTAAAAAAATATACATTCTCTCTTAAAAAATGTTTTATAATATATATGTTTCCCATGTCTCCCTAATTTTATGTATGTATTTCCCAGGGCATAGTACTGGTGGCATGGGGTGAGGAGGAAATGCAAGGTTTCTATGGGAAAGTTAAATAAATAGTAAGTAAATATATTTTTTAATATTAAAGAAAACAGAAATCTATGACAAGGACAAATATAATTTTCACATGTATTTTAAAAATAAAACATAAGGCTGGGTGCAGTGGCTCACACTTGTAATCCCAGCACTTTGGGAGGCCGAGGCAGGCAGATCGCAAGGTCAGGATTTCAAGACCAGCCTGGCCAACACAGTGAAACCCCATCTCTACTGAAAATATAAAAATTAGCTGGGCATCGTGGTGCACACCTGTAATCTCAGCTACTCAGGAGGCTGAGGAGGGAGAATTGCTTGAACCCAGGATGTGGAGGTTACAGTGAGCCGAGATCGCACCACTGCACTCCAGCCTGGGCAACAGAGCTAGACTCCATCTTAAAAAAAAACACACACAAAAAAACACACAAGAGTCAAATAAATTTCTTGGTCAATTCAGGCCAATCTCCAGGTCATGTAGCAACATATGCCTGTTTTTCTAAAACATAACCCAAACTACTATGAAGACAAATTATTCTTATCCATATAAAAACTGTCTATTATAATCACAGATTATTCATTATGGAACGTAGGGTGCTGGCAAGATGGATGTGATAGCACTGAATACCCTTTTTTCCTATTCTAAAATTAAACTTTTAAATTATGTGTGGCATCTGCTCTATTTATTTGATTAGAGAAGAACTTTATGAAAAGAGGATTTTTTTAAATCTTTTTTTTTTTTTAAAGACGGGGTTTCACCATATTGGTCAGGCTGGTCTCGAACTCCTGACCTCAGGTGATCTGCCCGCCTCAGCCTCCCAAGGTGCTGGGATTACAAGTGTGAGCCACCATGCCCGGCCTGAAAAGAGGATTTTTAAAAACTCCTATGAAAGCTACTTTTTAAAAACAGGATATTATGTTTTTCCACATATTAGGCTGCTGACAATTTCCTGTTTTCCTCTTTCACTCTGAATAACTGAAGAACATCATATTACATTTATAGGTTTAATAAGACGCATCTCATTAGTCAGTTCAACTTTTCTGGTTTGGTTAGGTCACCTAGTTTCTTTGTATTCTTCCTTAGTGACCTGTCCTGATTGCATTTGTTTTTGAAAGTTTCATCTCATCTTAACTTTCACATTTGTACCATTCTGGGTTTGACTTTAGAACACAGAATGTATGAATATGGTATAATTCTGTCAAATGCAAAATAACTCCTGTCATGATTATAGCACACACACAAAAGAACTGCCAGGCCCTGAGAAGCAATAAAGAAATCCCCTGTAGCTACAGCAGAGGACAGCATCTGAGCACAATGCCTTTTCTGATATTAATAATACTAAATAGGTGCGTGTTTCTTTGAACTTTCCAAAGATTTCACCTGTGTTCTCACCACACTGGCATGGTGTATGTGTTAAATAGTTAAAGACTATCTTCTCTTTAGAGATTGGTAGGTCTGCCAAGTTCACTGTTAAGTATTTCATGTCCTAAACAGAATTTTGTACTGAACTCCAAAGAAACTGATAGTAACTACAGAGGAAATCAGGAAAGATATTCACTGCTGGACACATACTTTGCCATCATAAGCATGTTTAGAGGAAAACCTCTAACCCAACAAAAGAAAACTCTGTTTTAATCTAGTTGGGTACCTAAAACTCACTGATCTTTGAAAAATAAATAAATATTGAGACATTTTTGTTAACAAAGGGAAAATACACATAAGCCAGAGAAGTGATGCATACATTTTTTTCTAGAACAATAGTCAAAACCAGTTGTGGCCAGAATCATAGTACAGAAATGGAATTAGAGTTACACAATCTACAAATAGTAAATGAAAAACTACCTTCCAGAAATTACCATTAATAACTCCCTACCCAAAAAGTAGGTTTTACAATGACAACAGAATATATCCTGCACTGATCATTTAATAAAATATTTTACTATATGAATACTAGCAGGCATATACACCACTGTCTATAAACTTGGGCTGAAATCAGAGAACTGTGGGTATCCATTATGCCTCATTAATTTGGGACAATCTCTAGGACTAAGCAATCAAGGGGATTAAAAACATCCTAATGTTATTAGGCAGTACAAAACGGGTATGTTCAGCAACTTCTGGGTCTTAATAAACATCTTTGTTTAAATTTAACTAAACTGCATCAACAGGCTGGAAATACTGCCATTCATTCTTAATAAAACCAACTAGAAGATCAAATGACCAGACACTAAAATAGCAATGGAAGGCAGAGTCATAAAAGATGTATGATGAGAAAGGGCACACAGGATCAGTTTCAATAGGTAGTTCTGAATAACCTTTCTAACTCACCAACTAAAGGATTTACACACCCCTCTTAGAACATGGTTGCTACACCCAAGTTTTGTACTCTGTTCTTACAATTATAGATGATTCTCTTAAATAGACAGAGGAAAAGGTACTTAAGTTAAATGCTTTCTTTGAGGTGATAGAGCAATATAAATCCCCTACATAGGGAAAAATGAAGACAAGGCATACATTTCTTTCTGAATCCTAATGTACTTGATCGTAACAACAGCAGCAGTGACAACCGTCAGAGGAGATCCTACCTGTGCTTCTTGATGCCGTTGGAGAGAGCATCTCCGCCACCACAATCTTTTTCTTCAGACATTCTGTGTTTTCTGCTGCCCAAATGCTCTCCTTCCTCTTCAAAGGAGTGTGCTGTCACTGCTTCCAATCTACTCAGGGACCGTTCAGACTCAGAATCTGTGGCAGAGCAGGTTCATGGTTAATGAATTGAACTTGGGTGCGAGGCTTCCGTAACAATGGATCCCGCCCTTCATGCATCAGGCTTTGAAACATAAGCAGCCTACTTTGTCCCGCAACAATCCATCCGTTAACTACCTCCTCAGGGATTTCACAGAACCTGCACCCAATAAGGCTGAAGTGGATTTATCAAACAGATGTACACTTATATAAGCTTACAAGTAAACAGGTCTGACATAGTAAAAGACATCTCTAAAGGTTACCCAGTTCTTTAAGAAATCATATTCAGTGGTTGTCCCCCAAAATTTCCCCTTCTTCCCTCACAAAGCATCTTAAGGATAACTTCCAAAAAATTTAATTTTTAAAATTCATGTATAATGAAAAAGCTGTGGTAGCTAGCTGTCCTTCTGAGAAGTTTAAATTACATCCAATACTGTAGACATAAAAGCGAAGTAATTTTTAAAATACTTTAAAAAGGTTGGGTCAGTGGCTCACACTTGTAATCCCAGCACTATGGGAGGCTGGGGCGGGAGGACTGATTAAGGATAGGAGTTCAAGACCAGCCTGGGCAATATAGCAAGACCTCATCTCTACAAAAAGTTTTTTAAAAAGCTAACAGCCGGTGTGGTGGTGTGCACCTGTAGTCCCAGCTACTGGGGAGGCTGAGGCAGGAGGATCACTTGAGGACAGGATTTGAGACTGCAGTGAGCTGTGATCACACCACTGGCACTCCAGCCTGGGCAGAGTGACACCCTGACTCTATACAAAAATAAATAAGATACTTTTAAAATTACTTTTCCCAGGATGATAATATTTAAATTTTCAAGGACAGAAACCTGAAGCATCCCCACAGTAATTGTCAGGCAGGCATTCTTAGGATGGAAATGTCATATTTCCAATTGGCTATATATTCAGAGCGGCACCATCTGCTAGTTTGGGAAGAAGACAATGCATTTTTGTAGATGACATTGGAATTTCCAGGTGCTTTCACATTCTTCATCTCTTTTGAGCATTTCAAGGATGCTTTCGCAGAGGTGAGGCCAGACAATGTGGTTATTAACAAGCACTAATGGTCTCTCACAGCTTGTGACAGTATAAAATGGGTATGTTCAGCAAGTGGGAGAAACAGAATTTGAACCCAGGTTTTCTGATTCCTTGTTGAATGTTTTATGTATTTCAGCTCCAAACAGTAGTCAGTCCATTTCCATCACACTTTAAATGAGTTTTTATTAAAGTGGAAATTCAAGATGACCTCTAACTTCCCATCTTGAGCACAGGACAAGCCACTCCTTCACCCGCAGCTCTGACACACGTTCCAGCAAACTTCCTATTTCAATACATTTATCAACAGTCTGCTAAATTCGTATTATAGCTACACTGGTCACGAAATAAAATGTTTTACTGCTTTCTTTCCCCACTACAGCATTACATATTTCAACAAAAATCACAGAACATTAACTTTACCACATTAGGCTAACTCAGGAGAATGACTGCTGGGCTAGTCCAAGTACAGGTTGGCTAATGCACCTTGAACTCTAAATGCCTACCCTATGACTCATCCAAGTGACTTACAGAAAGGGTTTTAATGTTGGGAAAGTTTTGTTTTCTGCAAATATAACTTTAGTAAAATTTCTGAAAATATAGTTTT